CTGTTATCACCAAAGAGACTTCAATTGGATTGTGTGGTTTGCATTGTGTGAAACAGGGCGAAACATTGGCTAGTGCTGCTCTAGGGGGAAGACGTGTAGACCAGAAGTAAGAAAATGCACGCGCGGTCCCATGTAGAGGATGAAATGTGTCGTGCGTTTGCCTTATGAGCTCTCAGGGGGTCCCCTATCCATCTGTCGCTCAACACGCCTACACGCATGTTCATTGTGGGGCTAGGCTACCACGCGGTTCGGGCAGTGGTCCTAAAACGGTAATGACCGAGCCTTGCACAACTTCTTGGTGAGCCCGACACAGCGGTTCCCGAAGCCTTATTTCACTAATTTAGACGCCTAAAGGCAAGCGTGTTGAAGATGCGGTGAAGAGTGATTGTTTTCTGAAAACAAAAAACCTTCATTTTTCGTATGCCCGCGTGCCCACTGCGATGCACATTTCATCTCTATACATAGTGTCATTTCCTAAAGCCTAGGGAAAGAAGACACGCACGTTTTGTGAGAACCAATGTTAGAGAGGGACTTGGAGAAAACTTAGGGGTGGAACGGAATTTGGATGAGATTGGGTTTTGTGGTTAGAACGATGATGGGGTGGGTGGGGGGGGGAAGCGCAAAAGGGTGAGGGGGTGGGTGAGAAGGCGAGCTTACTTCCCAAAATAAAACTGTGCACAGAGTAATATGTAGATTATGAAACTGGGCGAAATAGAAGAGGAAAGAATTTGAAAATTCCCCTTGCTGCGTGAGTCACGTTATGCGGCATCTCTTTACCCCCCCCCCCCGGGAAATGGGGGGGGGGGGGGCTAGCTACCGTAAATCTCCTGATATTCTGTTACTCCCCCATGAACGCCCTTTGGGGGGGGGGGGGGGCGAGACCCACAGACAAGTAGGCCCACACGGCTGCCGGACACGCGCGGATGTTTGAGTTTTCACGGAGAGGTCTTCGTGATTTAATCCTGTCACAATGATGAATGGGTCGAAGGGCGATACACCCTTCACATTCCATCCCGACACCCAACCCTCTCACACACTCACCGACACCCACCCTTCTTACTCTATCCCGACACACCACCCCTCGTCTTTGTCCCAATGCACCCTACCCTCTCACTACTCGATCCCAACACACCACATTTCGCACTCGATCCCAATACACCCCACCTCTCACTCAGCCCCAACACAACACCCCTCTCATTTAGTCCCAACAGACACCCTTCCTTCTCAGTTCACTCCAACTCACTCCTCTCTAACTCAGTCCACCCCAACACCCAGAATCTCTATCTCTCTCTCCTACCCACAACACATCCTTCCCCACTTACCAGCACAATCATTGAAATAGCACCTATTACTAGAGGTCAACATTTGAACATTATTTAGCAAAATAATGAAATCATTCAACAGAATTTGTATTAATCATGTAATAAATATGGAAGTATGTGATTCTACTCGTGAAAACAGCTCGAGCCCTTGATTCTACTTGTGAAAACAGCTCTAGCCAGTATCTTCCAGCAGGATTTCCAATTATACAGTAACGACCAAATTATGGATGTTTTACGGTAAAAAAAAAAAGCTACCCCCCATGCAACCGTTCCTCCTTTCCCCTAAATCTCCCTATTCCTCGTGTAATATCGCCTTTCAGCGGGCGAGTTCCTATGTGCACAGTAGCACGGGTGCACAGTCTGCTAGGAGTGAGTGGTCTGATAACGGGAAGGAACACACAGCAGCAGACATAAACGGCACTGCCAGGACTTCTCAGTGACTCAATGGAAACCCAAAAATAATCACGGCCCAGACTTCGGCGCGGTTTTTAGAAAAGAACAAAAAAAAAATTGACGTCATTGAGTCATTAGGTTTTATTGTTGGTTTTATGCTTATTTTTTCTTCACACAACAGTTTAGAATGGATATGTTTTTTTACACTAATTAATAGTTAGGAGGTGACGAACGTTCGCCTCAGAGTGGCAACTTTGGGATCAGGGCAGGAATACAACTCAAAACGTCTTTATAGACGGCCATGCCTTTCGTCTTCCTCACGCTTTCCTCCTAGTCCTAGTTTTCTTCCTCCCTGTTCTTACCCCGGGGCGATAATAAAGTCGGTGCCGTGTATTTGTGTCGGTGTGTGGGTAAAGTGCCGAGTTTTTGGGTGGGGGAGATGAGAATGAGTGGTTGGAGTATAAGGAGCCGTGCCATGAGTAAGCTAGCTGTTGGGAAAAAAGGGGGGGGGGGAATGGAGATGTTGGGATATTTCAAACTAAGAAACTCATGAATGTTCGTTATTTTGTTGTAGAAGAAATGAGGGGTTAATCTGGGTGGGGAATGGACTTTTAGCGGGTTGTGTGTCTGTGTGTGTGTCTGTCTGTTGTTTTTTAAAATATTTTTTTGTTAAAGCTATTTTTTTTTCGATCAATCGATCGATGTGATGGAGTTGGTAAGCACTAGGTCTCTTACTTGTTATCACGGGTACATGGCGAAGTGGCAATCAGAAATTAATTTTTGTGGAAATTCACAGGGATGGAACAAACGGAACACACAAAATAAAGGAACCCAGACTCAGACCGCCCCCTTCCTGCTCACGCCAGATTCGCCAGCTTACAATTCCTTCCACCCCATACCCACCCCCCTCTCTCTCTCTCTATTACACAAACACACACACACATCGAGCAGCTCTTCCTCCTTCGCTATCTCCGTATCTGATTCTCCAACAACTTTAAACACAGACTTTTGGCGAGTTTCCTACAACAGGTGCCTTAGCTTGATGTGTTCTGTTTGGTGAGAGAAGGCAGTGGGCCCGGAGCGACCCGGGGGGGGGGGGGGGGGGGGGGGGTTGAGCGGCGGGGGGGGGGGGGGGGGGGGGGGGGGGGGAGTAGAATGAACCCAACAGGAACAGTGTGCCGTAAATTAGGCATGTCTAGTGCCAGCCAGTCTGTTCCCCTATATTCCATCCCGTGTGACGGTATCTTCAAATATTCAGCCACCTTCTGTTATATACAAGAGCAGTTCACCGAAATACATGCACACACACAAGACTGGCTCGACTTGGGTGTACCTTCTATAATGACACATTTGCATTGACGCGTCAATCATACAATCAAAAATTGTTTCTTTGCTGTATATTGGTTTGGGGAGGGGGGGGGATATCATTTCCAAAAAACATATTATCACCACCACTTGGGGATTATATATATATATATATATATATATATATATATATATATATATATAACTGTTAAAAACATCA